GCGGGGACAGAGCTGCGGGGACAGAGCTGCGGGGACAGAGCTGCGGGTTCCGCTTAACCCGGACACCTGCGGGTCCCCTCCTGCCCCCGCCCCGGGCACGGAACCCTCGAACCCATCTGCCTTTGCTTATCAGTATTTTTTCCTGTAACTGTCAGGAACTAAGCTGAAACAATACAGCTCTTCACAGCCTGAGGGTTTTTTTTCCTTCTTCCTATTTTTTTTTTTTTATCTTTTAGCAGGCTGATCTGAAATAAAGAAACCCCGCCGTTTCCATGCTGCCAATGAATGAAGCTACAGGTTCATTTCACACCCCTCTAAAGCACTCCGGACACTCAAAAACACGCATCTGAGCGCTGGGACTCGCTGCTTCTGCCCTCCCTCTTGTGCAGGAACAACAGGCGAGAAGAAGGGAAAGGGATGGAGCGGCGCGCCTTGAGCGACACGGAGTTGTCATGCGAACTTCCAGCCCTTCCCCAGGATAAAATATCCCCGGGGGGGGATGGGGGGGAGCAGCTGGTGCATGGAAAGTTATAAGCACAAACAGATGCTGGAAGCAGATGCTCGGGCGCTCCAGCCATACCTATCGAATTATTCCAGGCACTGAGAATAGCTCGGGGAATGGGGGGCGTGAGAAATGCAGGAGTTCCCCCTCCAAGCCGGGGCACGCAAGGGGAGCTTTATCTCGCGGTGTCGCGACACAGCATCGCGGATCGCCTCCGCCTCGGGGGGCTGCGCTCCGGGAGGATGGGGGTCGGGGGCGACTCGAAAGGATGGAGAAGGCTCTTCTTACCTGCCGCGGCCCGCGAGGGAGGTGCGTGTGGAGGGCAGGGGTGTAAGATCCAGCAGCTGGGGGACGCCGAAGCCGGCCCGGTGCCCGCCGCCCGCCCGCTCTGCGCTCCCGCCCGCCCGCGGCCCCTTTTTGCGGGCGGCCATGGGATGTTTAATAGCGGCCCCGCCGGACCCGCCCCCCCCGCCCCGAAGGCCAATGGAACAAGGAGGGAGTGGTCGGGGGGGCGGGGCCGCGGGGGGAGCCCGGGAGAGGGATCGGCGGGATCGGGAGCGGGATCGGGAGCGGGGATGCTCCGGGGCGCAGGGGATGCTCCGGCGGAGCGGCGAGACCCCCGTCCCCCGCACACAGGGTCCCGGGAGAAGGCAGCAGGGGTCCGGCTTCCCGGTGCGGAGAGTCCCGGGAGAACGCAACCCGTCTCCGGGTCCCCGCTGCGGAGGGTCCCGGGAGAAGGCGACGGGTCTCCCGGTCCCCGGGTCTCTCGTGCATAGGAGCCCGGGAGAAGGTGGTTGCTCCCCGGGTTTTCGGGAGCAGGCGGCCCGTCTCTGGTCCCCGGGTCCAGAAAGCGACAGGTCTCCTGGTTCCCGGGTCCCCGGTGCGGAGGATCCCGGGAGAAGGCGGCGAGAGCCCGGGTCCTTGGTGCATTGGATCCCGGGAGAAGGCGGCCGGTCCCTGGGTCTCCCGTGCGGAGGGTCCCGGGAGAAGGCGGCGAGACCCCGAGCTCCCGCTGCCGAGGGGCCCAGAAGAAGGCGGCCGGTCCCCGGATCCCCGGTGGCTGCCGGTCTCCTGGTCCCCGGGTCCCGGGAGAAGGCTGCCAGTCTCCCGGTGCCCGTGTCCCCGGGGCGGAGGGTCCCGGAGCAGCCGCGGTGGATGCGGGGAGGGCTGTGCGGGGAGGCAGCGCCGTCTCTCCGTTTCCCGGCACCGGGACTCTCCGGGAGCCCCCGCGGGCACCGAGCACCTGCCTCAAGTACCCCCCTCACCCTTCCCAACGCTGCGAGAAAGGCTTTTGCGGGACTTCACACGCAACTTGGGAAAGCCCCGTGTGCTATCTGGGCGCCTGCTCTCTCCCGTTTCCATGTCTCAGGCTGATGTCTCGAAGCCCCGGGCAGTGAGAAAAAATTACCGGAGGCAGAATAGTTTCGTCTCTTTTGTTCCTTCTTTTCATTTTAGTGAAGGGAAACGCGGAGATGCAGGTTATCCCGTCCCAAAGTCCTGACACTAACAGGGAGGAGAAGCGAGGCAAATAACAGCACAGCTCCTAAGCTGAAAATCCTTCTTTTTAACTCAAATCAAATGTCCCTTCCGAAATAAGAGCTTTGATCCCTGGACTAAGATCTTTTAGAGCACAGCTGGAAGCAAGAGCAGTTTCATCCTGGCTGCAGTGTGTGGGATCCATGTCTTTGTTCCCTGGCTCACCTGTGGCAGCTCAGTCAGGCTGGCCAGGGTGGAAATATGCAGAAATCAAAATGATTTTTAATAGCTTGTCCTCCCTGCAGTGAACATGGCCTAAGATACAGAAAAATAAGGATGAAGGGTCTGGCTGGGAGCCTTGCAGGAACAAAAACAGCCTTGTAAGCACAGCCTGAAGTTTGCCAAGCCCTGATGGACAGTGCAGGGGTGTTAGGTTCCAAGGCAGGTGTCCACTGCAGAACATGCTCCTGCTGCCCCCAGAGAGCTGAGTTCCCAAGTGCCAACAGCTGAAATCCAGCAGGGAGCCCTGTCATGTGCTGCAAAACCCAGAGCCAAGGTGACTACTGAGTGCGAAGGGGGCAGAGCACACAAAGCTTCAGAAACTGGCATAAACACCTCGATTTGCACCCAGGACTGCGACAGCAGCCTCTGCAACACCCAGAACTGGGTGCTGGGGATGCCTGTGGGACTGTGAATCAGCAGCAGGTCTGCCTGGAGCCGCTGAGGGATAGACTGATCCAAGTGGATCGGCCACTCTCCTCCGAGGAGCCTCTTACAATGGCCAGAACGGGCTGTAAATATGATTCCTTACTTTCCACAGCAATGCCAGTGCCTGCAGTCGCTCCTTGTTGCTTAAGCTCTCCTCCTCACTTGTTTCCTAAGTTTACAACACTGACATGAGCTGTCTTTAAACCCTCAGTGGAGGTGCTTTGCTCTCTCATGGTGTAGAGGTTTTAAGAACACGCTCCTCATGCACTGACCCGTCCCAGCAACTGCCTCTCCTGGCACTGACAGTGTTTGCCGAGTTCCCCACGCTCCGAATGAGGAAGTGCCACATTGTTGCAGCAATAAACACAATGGCCAAGTGCAGCCGGTTCAGAAGTGCCCGGTTTGTGTGTTCAGGATGCACAAACTTTACGGGAGAGGGAGGGGGAAGAAGAGACAAGTGTTTCTGTACATTGAGCAATCGGGCACGTTGGGCAATCGTGCTGCTTGTGAGCTGTTCTTGGGTGGCTCTGTTCATTTTGAAGTGGAAGGAAATTCCTCTAGAAGTCTTATGAATGATGAGTCTGGGAAAAAAAAAATCTATAAGAGACAATGAGTGCAATTATCTTGTTCATTCAGTAAAGCGAAGATCATTAAATCCACCGGATTGGAGAGACAGGCACAAATCCTGCACTGCTCATGTCTCTGTATCAGGGAGAAATATCCCTTGTTACTCTGTTTGTGTGCTTCCTATGAATAGCTAAAACAGCAACAATTTGACTCACCCTGAAGGAGAATGTGCCCATCTATATGGAAATGAAATAAGGTAGAGCTGCAATCCACTCTTGGGAAGAGATGCTCTTCTGAGAGCTCACGCTGTGAGCTGGGCACTGAGTCCAGCAATTCTCTGTACAATATCCATAAGATATTTATGGATTGCAGCCTGACTTTGTAGACTCTTACTCAGCCTTTACTCATGCAAACTGAGTGATAAAGACCACAGAGCTGCTGGACCCAGAGATCTCAGATCCACTGGTATGAGTAAGGGTTATTCACAACCATTCACTGAGGAGGGGTAGAGCACATACAGAACCATCGTTTTACAGCTCTCCAAAGTCGGAGCAACTCTGCTCAGAAAGCTCTTCTTACAGTGAAATATCGATTCTAATCTGTCATGCAGGCAATGAAAACCAGAACAGAACCATCTGCATGGACTTCAGCAAGAGAAGTCCTCCCAGACCCCCAAACGGGGAAGTTGAAGTTACAAGAAAAGTTTCTAAAAAACCCTTTCCTGTTGCAACAAGGCAGGACAAAGAGGGTGAGAGGCAGCTGAAAACTTAACCCTCAAGGCTGAGCAAGGGTTTGTTTTCCTTCTCTCCATGGCTGGTTTTCTAATTTGACTTAGCCCTGCCTCAGAAATCTCTCAGTGTCTTCTGACTGAAATATTAGGAGGGCAATGTGAATGGCCGTGGGTTGAGGAGTTTTCAAGACAAGACCCTTTATGTGCAGAAGAAACAGCACCAAGGGATAGGAAGGGCTCTGGGAAGGCAGAACATCCCTATTTCATACCAGGAGGGGTAAGAAAAGGAGCCAGTGGCAGAGGAGGATGCTTTCCACAGGCAGATCCCAGGCTGTGCCAGTGAAAGCAGAGGCTTTTCACCCCCTTTTTCTGGTGTGGTTCTCACCACCTCAGCTTGCAGAGAGCAGCAGATGCCCCAAGGAAGCAAATGGAGAGCTGTGTTGCAGGCACAGCCCCTGCCAGCTGGGAGCAGAGGCTTTAGCCCCCGTCTCACTCCACGGGAGATGTTATTAAATTGCTTTTTCTGTCTTGGCGCTGAAATGACCTAATTATCAGATTGCATTTAGTCTTCATCTCTCCAAGTGGCCAAATCTACTTTGGTTCTCAAGGATTTTATTGCCAGCTGAAAATAGCTTGATTGTATTGTGCCTGCAAAGAAAACATGGTCTGGTGGAATCAAAGCAGTCCATTTCCACAAGATGAGAAGAAATGCCATAAATAACACATTGGGCTTTTTTCTTTTTTTCTGGTCTCACCATTTCCATGCATGTAAACTGGCATAAGTTTGCCTTTCTTCTCTCACCATTAGGTCAACTGGAAAAAATTCATCAGGAAAAGGTGGTTTCCCCATTCACAGCAAACCCCTGGGGTTTAGACATTAACTGGGTCTTTATAGGTCTGATGCTGGGATCTCCAAGGAAAAATGAACCACGCTGGTAAGAGAAGGAACAGGTAAATCCAATGAAAATTCCACAGAGAGACGGTTACATGTTTGATAAGGCTTGAGAGAGCAAATAAATACATTTTGTACTTTGCAAGCAAATGGGATATACAGATGTGCAGCCAACAGTTATATTGGAGAAAAATGTGTTTGTTCATAGGAGGGATGAAATATGGAAGAGGAAATTGAATTGCTTTATATATCTGAGACGAGTGGAACTCACACCCCATTCACATTATTTTTCTTAACCATACATTTTGTGTCCAAAATCTCTGTTTAAGATTTCAGGCTGTCTCATTTGGTCTCATTCGAAGGACAAATCACCAGCCAGTGCCTGTATTTTGAAAAAAGAATAAAAAAATAAAATAAGTGTGTGCTTTCAGTCTTTGCTGCTGCAGGTGGGGGATGTGGGGAGCAAGGTGAGGACATCTTGAAATGCTGAACTGCAAACAGCAATCCATCACTAGCAGGAACTGCATCTAACTACCAATCCAACAGCAACCCAAAGAGTTCTGCCAAAGAAAACCTATTTCCAACACCGTGTTCCACGTGGCTCCATTCTCAACAAATTAAGGTGCTTAATTCAAAGGATCTTTCATTTCCAGCTAAACTTTCGGACCCAATAAAATATGACAGACACCTGTTGGTAAAAGTGAGTTCTCTCAACACCTGCAGGGTCTAAGGCCTTAAAATGATTAGGAAATCTTAATCTGATATTTAATGTACACCTTGCACATTCCATGTTTTCTCAAAGCCTGGCTGTATCCAGACAGTTCTAGTACCATTTAGTGATAGTTTTCAGAGCTGATGATTGAGAATAATCTTCCAGAAATGCAATAAATGTCAGGGACATCTGGCATTGTTTGTGACATGGCAATATTGTATATTTTGCCTTGCCCAGCCAGAAATCAGCTGTGGCAGTTTGGCCTCAGAGGCAGAGGTGGGGAATGTATA